GTGAGGATAGAAGAGAGAAAAACATAGCTCTTGCTTATTTTGGTCAAAATCTTCTAAAGACTATAATAGGAAATGTCAACATGTCTAAGCTAAAGACCAAGAGAACAGAGCTGTTTCTCATAAACAGAGAAGTGATGAACTCTGGTACCTAGAAAGGGACAGTGAAGACCTGAAGTCACATGTCAGACCCGAGCAGTGACCAATGCCCATTTTGTCCAGTGCCCCTCTGAATCATGTGTCACTTGTTGCTTTCTTTATTTTTATTTATTCTTCTTTTGTAATTAGATTGTAATCAGAAATGGCAGGTAGAATCTTCATTAGAACTAAGAGTATCATATAGGGTTCACACAGATAAAAAACTACCTTAGCTGAAAGACTGAAGTCCAATTTTTAAAACCACACATGAAAAAATATAGTAGTAGAAGTAAAAATGAAATGACTGGCTGAAAGTTCTTTAGCATCCACTGAGAGTCAGTTATCCTTTAGATCCACAAATTATTACTTCTAACACCCATCAGGTGGGTAGGAGAGAATGAAGAAGAATGAGTCATTGGGAAGATTATGTTCTCAGAATCCCTGAAAGGCCAAAACCCAAAATAAAAATGAGAAAAGGACTCCCTTTTCCCTCTCCTTTTCCATTCTTCTTTCCCTCTCCTACTCCAGTGGGAACTCTGGCTCCTGAAACTTGAGATGTTTTAGAGCAAAACAGGGGCCTTGAATGCTCTCTTGAGCTCCCAAGTGTGGAAAGTGGGCTGGAAGGGAGCCAACCCAAAGTGTAACCTTTCCCAAGAGGGCTATCACCAGGCCTCTCACTTTTTAAAAGGTCACCTACAGAAGATCAGCAAGCAGGAAAAATAATAACGAAAGGACACTTAGACCTTTCTCAAAGCTATAAAAAAAAAAATCCCAGATGAGAATAAATCCATCACAGTCTGGAATCTACCAGATAGGCCAGGAAAAACAATGGCTATAAGAGCTGGATGTGGCCCAGCCAGTACCCTTTTGAGTGGAGGAGACTAGGGTAGAGGACATTGTACCCAAAGATGAGAGAGACTCACCTCTGAGGGGCTGCAGCCAATACCCTCATCAGGAAGAGTAGATGCTTCCTGCATCTGTTAGCACTTTTCTCAGCTGTTTTGTTAAATAAGAGCACCTCTTGGGCTGGGTTGTATCTAGCTCAGTGGTAGAGCACTTGTCTAGCATGTGCGAGCCACTGGGTTCAATTCTCAGCACTGCACATAAATAGTATATAAAAATAAAAGTCCATTAACAACTAAAAATATATTTTTTTAAGAAAAGAGTACCTCTTGGTAAAATGCCTGGTGTTTACATTAGTATGCACATGAATAAATGTCACAAACTCTGAATGCTAGTTAAGATATGCAGGCAGAGTGTAGGATTCATAACCCAGGCCCTCAAACAGGGCAGGAGCCTGCCCCCACGGTTCAGGAGTGGACAGTGAATGATGCAGACACTTATTCTATGTGTTTCTCCTCCTACCATGTGCATTGTCCTCTGGCTGCATGCTGGAATTACTGCTTTAGAATGGATGCACCCATTCAACAACTATTTATCACAGGGCTCTTCCACCTGATTCTGTGCAGAGAGACATAAATTGAGTAAAATACAACATGTACCCTAAGCAGATCACAGGCTGGTGGGATTAACTGGCATTTGTTTTGCTTAGTCTGGGCCAGCAGTTCCCATGGAGTAGTCCATAACCACCTCCCTTAGAAATAAGCATTCCTCACCCAGATCCTCTGGCAATTCTGCATCCAGGACTGTCTGTTCAGGCCATATTTTCTTAAGTTCTTTGCCTTCAGTTGATGCAGTAATTTTAAAGAAATAGAAAACCACATATAGTAAGATCAGTCATTCTCACTTGAAGATTATTTCAACAGTCTCCACAGTCTTTATATAATCCAGTTGTGGAGAATTTCACTGTCCTCAGCCTCCCATAAGCAGATCCAGCTGCCTCAGGTCAGCAAAGTATCTCAGCTGAAGAGAAGACTGATAACTGCCCCTCTGGAGAGAGGACCCAGACCCCAGTGGTCATGGTACGTGGTCTGCAGCTTCCCCCCTTGGATCCCTTTGCAGCAGCTCTACATGGCTGTTCTTTTTCTCCCCAGTCTCCCAGCTCCAGGAGGGATTATTCTGTTAACACATCCTGTGTTTTCATTGTGATCCTTTTATGTATGAAAGTCTTTCAGAGACTTTCTCTCCTTTTGCAATATGGCTAAGTGTATGCCTCCCCCACCCACAACCATCACTTCCCTTCTCCCAGACTCCATTCTACAAGCTGGTAGAAGACAGAGCTCACGGGGACACTGGCTGGGACGTGCAGACCTTTCACCAAGTCTCCTCGGCCTAGGGAGATCCTGTTTTCTCTCAGGCTTGAAGGTCCTGAAACATTAAGTGCAGCTGTTTTCAGCAGGAGAGAGAGACAGGGTGGGCATTTCATCCTAATGAGAACCCTGACACAGATCAACACAGGGATCCTACAAATACAGTGGGTTCCATCCTGGACTCCATCCAAGCTGGAGCATCTACACTCTGCCTTCCATGCCTATTGCCAGTGCAGTCAGCTTTGTTGAGCCTTTCTTAGGAAACTCTAGTACTTTCTAAGCAGAACAAATATCTCCTGGAGATTAGGTTTTGTGCAGTGTCTGTTTTAAAGCATTAGAGATTATGCAGTGTGTGGGGGGGATTGGGGACCCATCAAAGAGCATTACAGAGCTGCCAAAGCCAGAAAAAAAAGTGGGTGTCAAAAGTATTTCCAAGTGGAATATCTATTTTAAGCGTGTTTTTTTGCCAAAAAAAAAACCTCCAGAGCAGCGGAAGGTGTAGGAGTCCCTTCAATTCAGTATTGTGATATAAGATGATTCTCTCAGATCTGCCCATGCTAAAGCTTGGCACTTAATTTTAAGGAAATTCATCTTTATGAATCATAAAATTTGGGAAATCAGAAATCTGGTGACTCTGTACTCTACATTGTAACGTGAACTCAGGCTTGGAGCTCATGATGTAGTCAAGGCCACCTGAGACAAAAGTCTGGGAGACTTAGGGGCTACCCTGGGCCTCCATTTCCTTTTCTGCAAAAGAGAGTGCCATTCCCTTTTATGTCAAAAATTCTGTGATTTCCATAGTGGCTTAATCTGTCATGTGCTTGACTTTCTTTTGCAGAATAAATTGTTGGAAAAGCTCTTAATCTCAAGGTCATTAAATATACACACATCTACACATATATCTATATCTACATTAAGTCTAGTGTAGTTTATTTGGGAACTGAGCATAAGAGTACCTTTTATGTCAATGTCTTAAGACAAGTCATTTTTGTATTTCGGTAAATAAATTCTATATCCTGCCAACCCAAAATGCATCCAGGGGAGCTAAATTCATTTCTCTCCTGAATACTCTTTGAGCAGACTCTGTCAGAGATAAGAAAAACATGTACAGATTCTGTTTCAGACGTTATAAAATTCTTATGAAAAAACTTATTCAATGCATGTCCAGTGGATCATTCTTCAAATTCACTAGATATGCATTGAAATTAATTTGGATAAAATGGGTTACAAAATAACAATTAATTGGCATTTCTCATTGTTCAAGATATGGCCATTAAGAACAGGGATCTGGAAAAGAATTGTATCCTTCCTGTCTGATGTTTCATTTGGGCCCATGCGCAGGCTGATTTTGAACCTCTGGCCTAATCAGCTTCATTGATGCCCTAAGACCTAGGCTAGTAAAAGCTCATCATTTGAAGTCAGAGATATTAGATGTTAGATTCTAGCTTCAATTGTTCATTTTTCCATGTACCCTTGGGCCAAATATTTCACTTCCCTGAGCCTGAGTTTTCCCACTGTAAAAATTAGGATAAATATAATTTCAATATAGGATTTTTTTTTCTTGGTGAGACTAAACAAGTTAGTATACATAGCAGTGCCTAACAAAATGCTTGGCACATAGTAGGCACTCTTAAACATGAATTCCTATTGCACATTGTGAATGTACTTAACACCACTGACTTGTACACTTAAAATGGACTAAAAGGGTAAACTATGCTATGTATATTTTACCGCACATATAGAGAAAAGTGTCGCTGTGGCTGACCATCATTTTTTCACACCAGACACGTTTAACATTCTTTGAGCTAAAGACAGCTTAACCAAATTGACTTAATGTCATAGAATTTTAATACTGGGGACCTCGAAGATCTTCCAGTCTGACCACCCCACTGTGATGCTCCATCCTTCCTAGCCTGGGACCACAGTCTTTCCACTTACCCTACTTTCCCAAAATTGCTTCCCAACTTCCTGGGTTGTTCTGGCCACGGGGGACTTAGTGGTGGTGAGCAGGGTTCCCCCCAAGGTGGAACCAGTCTTCATGTGTCCAAGTGACTGAACAGACTCCACCTCAATGTCACTTTATCTTGTTTTGTTTCCCCCACTGGACAGTCTGTGGTTAATATATGACTCCCTCTGTGCTCAGCCACAGAAATGCAAATACTACTTTGCTTTTGTTCTTACTCAAGAAAAGTAAGACTTCGGAACAAATTACCATCTTTCCATTTTTCAGGGCATCTTTGAGCCTTAAGCTCTGGCAGAGTGTGCCACAAGTCACTCTTTTGATTTTGATGATGATTATTTTGATGTGGGTTATTGGTGCTGCTGGAACCTTTTGAGCTTATCTGTTCACAGTGAATTTGTTTCTCTAAAGATTCTGGTCTGGAAGAATAGTTTGCCTTAGAATTTCCTGATTTAAAACTTGTATAGAATGTCACTGTTAATGGCTTTTACCTTCTGAAGTGGGGGGTGGGGGTGAGACAGACCCAGCAGCAGATGGAGAGGCCTCCTGGGAGCTTAGGCCTTTCTTCTGGGCTGTGGTTTGTCCACAAAAAGCAATAGGCAAAGGAAGAGCCAGATGACAGCAGTAAGTAGTCTGGCAGAAAGAACCCTTTATGAATATGAATTGCACATGACATGGTTTTCTTTTGATTATAGCAAGCAGATGAGACCTTGGATTTTGAAGAACAGATCTTGGAAGCTGCAAAATCCATTGCTGCTGCCACGAGCGCCCTGGTCAAATCAGCTTCTGCAGCCCAGAGGGAGCTGGTGGCCCAAGGAAAGGTAGGTAAACCTGACTGGCCGGTGATAGAGCACTCCCCAAGAGGGAGCAGCCAAAGAAGAGAGAGAAACCCTTTGGCTCTGCCAAGGAAATGTGTGATGTGCTTCTCTCCCTGAGTTGCCAGGCTTTGCCCCTACCGCTGAAAACTGTTTGCTTAAACTCGACTGACCGAATAAAAGGCTTGGCTTCTGGGCCTCTCATCTGCTTCTTGTTAAGGATCGTATCCCATTCCAGACAGCCATCAGGGCTGAACCAGATACTTATATTCCCACTGTACATTAGGCTGTTTAAAGATGTAAACTGTCATAGTTTCCTGGTGAATGACCCGATAAGCACCACAGTCAGGGGTTTTGTGATACCACTTTCCAACTGCAAACAGCTTCATTTGCTTTTAGGACTGTTGAGCTGAAAGCTGGCCAACTTTGCAGTTAGCACTTTTCTAAGTCTCTTGGTCAAAAGGCCAGTGTGGGTTTAAACTTGAGAGTTCTTTAGTCTGCTTCATGTCCAGTCCTCCCTTCTGTCTGCACTAGCAGAAAAGCCTTACTGTTTTTCTAATGGTTCAGAAGAGGACTTCTGGATATGCGCAGTCTTCCCGTTGAAAATATACCAGGTGCCCTGTTATTCCTCTACAACATGGAACCACCCTATCAAAATGTGTCTTGCAGAGAGCCTCCCAAGGCACTACAGCAGCCTTTCAAGTGGTGGGTCTAGGGAATTTGGTCACTGTCATTGTCAGTTACTTATGTTTGACATTAAAAGGCCTTTGCTCTCAGGGTAGAGAGATGGATCATATTTTATACAGACAAGAAGTCATGCCTGACTGGTGGCTGTGCCTCTTCCCCCAGTCTTTTATGAGCTTTGCCACATACTTTGACTTTTCTTTCTAACACACTGTGTGACGTTACTCAGTATCAATGCTGTGGGTCTCCCCACCAGGCACATTAGCTCCTCCTTTAGCACCTGCAGATCCAGCAGGGGCCGAGCTTGTCTTGTGTCTTTATCAAGTTCTTGTTGATTAATCAAGATGTGAGGACCACAGATGAATTGTCAAACAGAAGATCCTACCTAAAAATTTCAGTTTACTTCAACATCTAAAGGGTTGGCATTGTACTCAACACAGCACTAGATACCAGAAAAATCTACCTTGACTATGGCATACTTCCATGGAACTTACATGTTCAAGCATTTTAAAAGGTGGCAGACGAGGTTCTGCTGATCCTAGGTGAACTATAAAATAATATATAAGACCATGGGATTTGACCTTTTATATTCAGCAGGTGCCTATAATTGGTGACAGATCCATAGCTTCATTTTCAAATTGAGATACTCATCCCTTCCCTCCATGGCACCTCCCACCCTGTGAAGGTATTTCCCCCCAAAACTACATCCTCTAGATCTGCAGGAAAATCCCTTCTTACCAGAGATGCTCCTTACTTCCCGCCTCTTACTTCTTTCCCCACCTCTGACAAAATAAGACCCTCCTTTAAGATGAGGTTCCACACTCAACCATATAGAGGGAAATGCACTGCCCTTTTCTAATATCACCTGCCTGAAACTCAGGCAGGCTACTGATCAGGAAACTTTTAAGTTTCCCTTTTCACTTGAAAGAGGACACCTTGGTGGTTTCCATGTTTAAATTTTGCTATCTATCTGTGACAAGGCTATGTACTTCCTTGGGGCAAGGTCAGCAGAGGACAATAGCAGCAATTCATCATTCCCGAGCCATTTCCCAGAAACACAGTACCTGGAAGTTCCCATTGCATCTTGTAGCCCTGGGGGAAACCAGCCAGGATGTGCTGGTGTAGTGTGGTCACAGCCAGGGTCCCATAAGGTAAAGTGTTGCTCTATTCTCGGGCCAGTGTTGTTGGCAGGAGTCACCAGACAGTAATGTGTGTCCAGCTGCAGAGAAAGGGCGTGCAGGGGCTGCAGGTTACTTTGGCCTTCCAGCACCCACTGCAGGTTTCCCACTCCCCTTTCCAGGTGGGCTCCAGCCCCGCCAATGCTGCCGATGACGGACAGTGGTCACAGGGACTCATTTCTGCCGTGAGTTACCTTCTTCCTTCTTTGCTTTGTGGATCCCCTGAGGGAGGTTTGGGCCTTGGGTCACTTCTCTGTTGACTATCCTCAGGCCCGGATGGTGGCAGCTGCAACCAGCAGTCTCTGTGAGGCCGCCAATGCCTCTGTTCAGGGACATGCCAGCGAGGAGAAGCTCATCTCATCTGCCAAGCAGGTCGCTGCTTCCACAGCTCAGCTGCTTGTGGCCTGCAAGGTGAAAGCCGACCAGGACTCAGAGGCCATGAGGCGGCTACAGGTAATGGTCACTGATGCTGGTGGGAAAATACTCCTGTTGGAGCGGGTAAGTGTCACCAAAGGGGACAGTCTCACTTCCTTGGCATGACCCACCAGGCCTTCATCAGCCAGCTCTGTCCCACTGTCCAGCCTCATCATCTGCCTCCTGCGTCCATGCATTCTACACCTGCTGCCCCACCAAGGTCATATCTCCACCTGGGACTTGAGGACTGATATCTTGGGGCCCTTACTCACCTGGGATGTCTGGGTCTCCTTCCTGCCAGCCCAACTGGGCAAACTCCTACTCATCCTTTGTGATTCACCACAAAGTCACTTCTTTTGGGAAGCCCTCCTTGAATTCCTGGGGCTTGGGTACTCAGTCCCTCCTGCCTCCTGCCAGAGCTCCTGGCCTGAACAATCTTATGGCTCCTGTGTCACATGGCATGGCACCATGTTTATTTTGCTATCTATCTGTGACAAGGCTGTGCACTTCCTACATACCATGTCTTCATCTTGGCACTTCTCTCACCAGAGCCAGTGCCTGTCTCAGAGGATGCCCTGAATCAGCGTTTACCCAGCAGGGAGTGAAAGCACTGTGAGCAATCTGAGCATTGCTAAGGTTTCCCAGAGCCCAGAAAGCATAGTGCCAAAGTTGACAATCAAATCCTTCCCAATGCATATATGCCCTGATCATTTTAATTATAAAAAATACTTTAAATGTTTGAATAGAAAAACCTTTTAGCCTCAACATCTCCACACATCAGTGTTTCATTGTTTCCTGTTCTGTTATTATCTACATATAAGATAGTTTTGTCTGGTTGTAATCATAGCAAGACACGTTGTGCTTTCTTTTTGCTTCACATGTTGTCATACACATTTTTCCTCCTAAAGATAAGGCTCCATTTTCATGAGTCTCATTTTTAATAATTGCATGATATTACATGCATGATGATGCCAGAATTTTCTTATATATTGGACATTTTGTTTCTTTCCAATTTTCTGGAATTTTATTACTGTAAAGTGTCAAAATGTAGATTGTTTATATTGCTAAAATATATTTATATAAGTCATGAATGAAATCATAAAGGGCAGAAATATTTGAACCACTCCATCAGAACTCAGAATTCTTGTTTTATTTTGGAAGTCCCAAAGTGTTTCTGTAACGTGACCCTCCCAAGTCTCTCTGACCCACCTCCCTCACTTTTACTGACTTTTAGAGAGAACTAGGAGCTGTGTATTTCTGAATGTTGCAGTTCCTGAGTTTGGGGGACACTTCTGAGGGAAACAACCTGAATTACAAGAGACCTAGCTGCAGCCCTGCCTCTGCCACATACACCATGTTCTCAGGTCACTCAGAACTTTTGAGACCTCAGAAGCTTCATCTGCAGTGTCAGGGTAGAGATGTCCACGTGGACTTATGAGGGTCAAACAGCATAGTGGACATGAACATGGTTTCGGAAGTTCTAACAATTCACACAGGTTAAACACAGCACCAGTCTTGTTACCTGATTTATAGACACTACGGTGTCATGTCTGAGCCCCTTACAGGCAACTCGGGAGTTCTCTGGAGCTCAACAAACCTATATCCAGAATCTTAGACAAGTTCCTTAACCTCAGTCTCCATATCAGAAAAGCACAATATGATGATTTGTCATATGTTAACTTGCTTTCCTTCCTCTTCTTGTGCAAATCCTTGTGATCCTCATTGGTCACTTTAGATCATCAACTAGAAGGGCCAGCTAACTTCAGGAAAAAAATCTCAATTTTCTCATTGCTAACTTCTGATTGAAGGGTGCTGGGTAAGGAATATGGTAGGCTTGCTAAAGCTTTGACTGCCATTAGAAGAAAATTCCAAACCTCAGCTGGCAGAGGACAAGTCCCCAGGCTCATGCTTCATAGGCATTAACAGTAAGCCTGAGGTAGTCATAGTGGTGCCTACCTGTAATCCCAGGAACTGCGGCAGGAGAATTGCAAGTTCAAGGCCAGCCAGGGAAACTTAATAAGATCCTATCTCAAAATAAAAAATAAAAACATCTGGGGACATGGCTCAGTGGTAGAACACCCCTGGGTTTCATCCCCGTTACTGGGGGTAGGGGAGAGTAAGCCCCAGAATGGGCAACAGCTTTTAACAAAGATGTAGACTCCACATTGAAAAGCTTTTCTATACCTGTCTCTAGCAATTTGCCCTATCCTGAAGCTTATGGCATAAAGCTCAACTATGACTTAAAGTATAGCAGTCCTGGGTACTGTGAGACTCCCGGTGCTCCATGCAGGGGTGGGTACCCCCTTGCTTGTGTGCTCATAGTCCCTTATTCACTCAGATCATCTGCAGTAGATGATAACTCTGGATACCCCCTGTGCCAGGTTCTATGGATGCAGAGATTCAAATTACTGTTCCTGCCCCATTTTGTCACTGTCCAGGAGGGAGATAGGCAACAACATGTCCTCAAGTACACGCTATTTGATGGGGAAGGCAGCCATGGTTTCCTAGGCCAAGGAGGCAGCCCTAAGCACACTTATATTAATACACACAGAACATTGCTATCGTCTCTTACTATATGATTGTAATTCCCTTCAAAAGTCTGTGCTCCTTGGGGGCCAAAAAGTGTACCTCATTCATCTGGGAATGAGCTGTGGGTAGGTAAGTGCCAGTGTTGGTAGAATCGATGGATGGATGGAGAGAGACATGGATGCTCACAGGCTAAAGAGAACTTCTATGTTATAATTGAATGATAAATTAACTCATGTTCTCATGAACTGTACCTTTATGTCATTCTCGCGGTTTTTAATGCTCTGATGTGCATTTTGTTCCCCTTCTAGGCAGCAGGGAATGCTGTGAAAAGAGCCTCAGACAATCTTGTTCGTGCAGCCCAGAAGGCAGCATTTGGCAAAACTGACGACGATGATGTCGTAGTAAAAACGAAGTTTGTCGGGGGCATTGCTCAGGTTTGTGACTAAACATGTAATAACATTTATTCTCAAAACAGGTGTTGCATTATAATAGGTACAAAAAAGAACAGTGACTTAAATAAGCTTATTTCTCCTCATGTAACTGGGTGTAAGCAGTCTAGGGATGGTGTGATGATTCCTTCACTTCTGAGACCCAAACTCCATCTGCCTTATTCCACCACCCCTGAGAGAGTGCCCTTGGCCATTTGGTTTAAGACAGTTCAATTACCACCTTGGCTGTCCATCAACCAGGAAGAGGGAAGAAAGGAGAGGAGGACATGACCCTGAAGTTACACACATCACTTCTTCTCACATGCCATTGGTTAACCCTTGGTCATGTGACCATCCTAGCCGCACAGAAGACTAGGAAGTGTAGTATTAGCCATCTACCTAGCTAGAAATCAGGGATTCTGTTTGTGGGGAGAAAATGAAACAGAAATTGGAGAATAGCAATGTTATTTAAATACAGGGATATATTTGGAGTTGCTGCTATCTCCAGCCATTTGGCCCCACAGAGAGAATGATCGCTTACTGTCTCCCAGAACTTTTAAAATATGTGGGATTGACTTAGTTAGGATTGCATTCTCATGTATGTTCAAGAAGTACATCAAGAAACACATTCTGGTAAAAATACATCCAGTGCATTGCCAAACACAGGGAGAGTTGCAGGAAGAGCTAACTGATAGGGGAAAACAGTTTCATATAATGGATCTGTGTTAACACACAGGAAAGAATTGCAAGCCTGGTTTTCTAGAGTTCCCTCCTCACTTCATACATGAACTCTCCCTGTGTTTGGCAATGCACTGGATGTATTTTTACCAGAATGTGTTTCTTGATGTACTTCTTCCATTAGAAGTAACACAAAGAATGGTCTGTGGTCACACAAATCAGGAAAATGCTACATTCAATACTTCATCCCACCTTGGTCAGAGTACTCATTGGAATTTATATGACTTTCTGGAAAACAAACTTGCCCTTTTCACACAACTCCCAGTTAGTATCCCTCAGATCACCGTAGAAGCATGAAGTAAATATAGTCTTCCCTCTGAATCCTTCCATGTGTTTCATGTCCTCGGTTTCAACCCAACATGGGTTGAAAATATTCAGAAGAAACATTGCATCTGCACTGAACATGTATAGACTTTTCTCCATGTCGGTACTCCCTAAACAATACAGCAATTATATATATAGTGCTCACATTCATTTTAGTATTATAAGTAGTCTAGAGATGATTTAAAGTATAAAGCAGGATTACATAGGTTATATGCAAATACCATGGCATTTTATATAAGTACTTGAGTACCCATGGGAGAGGGTGCTATGGAACCAGTCTCCCAAATGCCAAGGGCTAACTCTATATGGAGGCCATCTAGAGGTAACAGTCACCAGCTTTAGCTTTAAGAACACCTGGACTGGTTCCTTCTGTTGTAGTTAAGTGACCATAGAGAAGTAGACCCATACCTTTCAATTTCAGATTCCTTATTGGAAAAATGGACTTTTGATAGAGCATACGTCACAGGCTTGCCACAAAGATGACAAGGCAGCCTTCTGTGGAGTGCTCACATCCAAGCCTGGCACACAACAGTGATGCAGTAGATGTTTGCTGTTCAGTCAGTGGCCAGAAATCAGCTCATTGTCTTGGGTCAGTTGGGTCATTGGTCTCAAAACCCAAACCATCACAAGCTAAGAGTACTATTCTCAGTGTACTGCTGTGTCCCATGGGAGACAGTGATTTCTTTAAAAGCATGAGATTATCTTGCTTGTTGCTCTTCTTCTAGATCATCGCTGCCCAGGAGGAAATGCTAAAGAAAGAACGAGAACTGGAAGAAGCAAGGAAAAAGCTGGCCCAGATCCGCCAGCAGCAGTATAAATTCCTACCCACTGAGCTGAGGGAGGATGAGGGCTAAGTCCAGGCCAGGATGGCGAGCCCCAGGAGCTAGCCCTGCAAGAACTGGACAGACAGTGTTTCTGAGAGCCAGGCACTTACCTGGAAACTGCCAGCCCCTTCCCCCCCGGGGCGAGTCCAGAGCCCTGAGTCCTGTTCTCACTTCTCTGTCCTGTTGGCACCGGCTGCATGATCCTGATGTCACACGGTACAGTGTCCCACCCACAGCTCCTCCGCCGCCTCCCCTTGTGCCTCGCCATATCTCAGGAGAGAGGGGTGCACGTTTTGTGAACTGTTACCAAAAAAGAGAAGTCAGTATTATGTCGTTCTCAGACACTTTTGCTTTCGTTGGTCTTCTCAAGGCCTGCTGCTGGGCCTCTTTGTGAAATCATACTAGGAAAAAAACAAAAACAAAAACACAGTGGTCCTGGGGGAAATCATTGATGTCATAGATACACATAGATATTCTTCTCCCTCTCAAGAGAACATGAAAGTTGGAGCTGGATATGGTAATAAAAGTCAGAAACACAAACCCAGGTGGACTCTGGGAGGGTGACTGAGGTCCTCCTTCCATGTCTTGAGCACTGGTTCACCCAAGGGGTGAAGAATCCCTGCTCCTGTTTGCACGCTTTCTTGCCTCAGTGTGTAAGCTCCTTGTACAATCTAGACCCATCTTGTATCCTGTGGCCCAGAAAATCAAACAGTTAATTTTTTTTTCCCCTCCATAATCCAAAGGGCAGAGTTGTGGGAGCCTTTCAGGGCTTGGTGAGCAGGGGCTGGAATAAAATGCATGGGCTCCTTATTCTGCAGAGGCTATTTCGGTTCATACAGATTCATGTGCACAAACCCACTTCCCTGTGACAGCGTGACAGCCCTCTTATGTATTTGGGTGGCTTCAGCCGGAATGAAGCGACTCCATCTTTAAGTCCCTTGTCACTAATCTCAGGAGACCAGAGTTCAAGATTGGAAGACATCTGTTGAGAAACCCATTATCGTCCCAAGAGGACTTTTGTTTTTCTATATCTTAGTATTCAGAATCTATGCATCCTAAAATCAATGTGAACCTTTAACTAGATAGTTTTGCTTATATGTAAGGTGAGAACATGGGGTGTTTTGGGAGTCCATCTTTTGGATGTCACACTTCCAGAATTTCATATTTTTTTCCTCCTCTTTCCTTTTTTTCCTTTTTCCCTTCTCTGCAAAGAAGGGCATGTTAAGACCTTGAATTCTCCTTTAATCTGAGCCTTTACCCTTTACAATACATGGAGGATGAATGGCTTGTGGAATAGAGGTTAATGCCAGGTAGCAAGTGACTTTGAAAGAATCTGTAAGAGAAAGAAAGGAGTTAATGGAGGCACATGGTTTTCCAGACTGAAGACTGTTGAAGCCAGTCAACCTCTGCCTTTCCCTGTCTCATAGCTCCAAATTTTCAGCCAGGAGGAAAAATTGGTGCTCTGGTCCTCAAAAGATGTCATCTTTTGACCTTGGCCAATGATCCTGCTTCAGCAGAGCCTAGCCCATGCCATCGTTTTACAATACAAACTTGACAGTTTCCCACATTTATAAGATAACTTGTAAGTGCTACAAATATTGAAATTTCTTTTTCAGACAAGTAGAAAGTTAGAGGAGTATAAATGACCCACAGGTGGAGAGCATACATTGGGGAGAGTGGCACCAAATCTGATAAACAGTGGGGAGCCCTGGCCTCTCAAGGAAAAGCAAGCCCAGTTCTGGCTCACCTTTCCGAGTATAGCTAATACAGCTCCTCACACTTGCACTGGGTGGACATTCTGAGGAGGATGCAGGGTGCTTCCTGAGATTTTGGAAGTCAGACCGAAAGCTCAGGGTCTCAATGTGCTAATGGTCTCACAAAGTGGGACTCTGGGAAACCCTTGCGGGGCCCAACCCTCCCCTCTTTTCCTCTAGGCTGCCCCTCTTCCCTTCCATCTGTCCATCACGTTCTGGCATCCCAGGAGGGGGTGGGGGCCAGGGCAAGCAGGGGGATCTCCATCCCTGCTTCAGGGTTATTTAAAACCCCAACTTCATTTGACACCAGAGGAAACCTCCAGAGAGAAACCAAATGGAAAGGCTCGTCTTTTCCAACATTAAGGGGCAGTCACAGAACACAGTTTATTTTTGTAGGACCTATATAAATGGCCTATCTGAAGTTTTCTGCTGCTAGGAGTCTAGAGAGGTTGGCTCCCAGTCATCACCTGGTGTAGTCCTGGGTTTTCATCTGTCCCTTTCTCATCCTCCCTGCATGTTTGTATGTGAATGGCCTTGTAGTAGCTTGGTCTTTTCTCATTTCATAAAATGGCCAAACGGCTGTGCTTTGGGCATTATTTACTAAGTGTTAACTGCAAGTGCCCCTGTGTGGCGTCTAGGGGGATTTTGGTTCTTCAGAGAGAAAGAATGCAGGTATATGAGTTGCATTTGGGGGCATGAACTTTTAGAGCATATGACAATAGCATGGTTCCCAGTAGAAGCAGCCCCAGGTCTGAGCTTAGAAAGGGCCTCTGTGGTGAGGGGCAGCAGGTGTGTGGATGTGTGCCCTTTCTCACTGCTTTGCCCCTGAGGGAAACTGGCATTGGGCTTTGAATCTTTAGGTTGATTTTTGTGTCCAGAAATTGCTGGTTTTGATGGTCAAAAAAGGAAACTGAACTAGACTTCAGAGCTAATTGGTGATTTGGGAGTTTAGATTTTGCTGTGTTGTCTTTCAAAAGTCTTCAGATCAAAGGTGCTTAAGCCATGGTCAGATTGGCCTTATTTAGCTCCACTGATGTCTAGTCAGGGGTGGCCTTGGTGGTCAGTGCCAGCAGGTACTCAGGTCCTGGCTGGTCTCTGGGCATCATGTACCCACCAAGGCAGTTGCCCAGCTGCCCAGCCCATAGTCTGTGCACAGGCTTAGGGCCAAGCCACCTGCCACCTTGTTGGCACATAATTTTATCCCAGAAAACCCTCTGAGCTTCTTGTAGGTCTTGCGCACCTGCTGACTGATTTATCAGCCTACATGTGTGCAAGCAACAGGAACCTATTCCTAATTTATCACAAAGATTGTTTAAAAAAAAAATTTACTACCTTCAAAAAGAGTAGACTCCACCTCCCAAGGGACTCCAAGGCTAAAAACCTCATGAGGGAAGTAGGCACAGGGCAAAGGTGGTAAGTAAGCCATGGTCTCTGCTCCCAGGGAACTCACAGGCCTCAACGAGGTGCCTCCATTTCCTCCTCAGCAGGTGGTCCCCAGAATCTTCTGTCCTAGCTCGGAAGTGCTGGGCTCTGGCAGGACCTCTGGGAGCCTTTAGGCCCTAGGACATATTATGACCATGTTCTGCTCTCAGATTTCTGAAGAAAACGAACCCTCTGTTGACCAAGGGGACACTGCTTTTGAGAGTCTTTGGGGGACCAGGGGAACTTGGAGAAATTCCCAGGCTAAGAGGCTACAGTCCCCGGAGTTCTGAAACCCAGAGATCCTGACCTCTGTGCCAATGGCCCATGTCCCGTCTGAGTGCCAGCCTCAAGAGATGACCTCTGCCAGGGAAGGACTCCTTCCCAAAGGGATCCCAACTTCCACGTTTAAATGTCCTGAGACTATGGCTTCATCCCTCTGAGCTCATGTTTGGTGTGTTTATGACCATTAGGAATGAATGTGTGATGGAGCTTCTGTTGATTGATTTTAAAACACTACAATGAAGAGCTGTCACTTTTCTATGATGGGAGTTTGGATTCAGCCTTCCTCTGAGCCCAACTCCCAACTCTCCAGGAAGCATCTGCGTGTGAGTCCCTCCAGCCACATGTCCTCACCCCACATGACACAAGGCAGGTTCCCTCAGCCTCCAGCCACACTGCAAGATCCATAGGAGGTCAGGAAAATTAACCTCTGCCCTTGTCATAATGTTTAATCACATAAATTAATTTATCTAATCACATAAATTATTTTTTTTATTCATCAGAAATAAACTTTTAAAGCAATGAACCTGTGTGAAGGTCTCATGGCAATGGGAGGAGGGCAAAAAAGAGGGAAGAGAGAGTGTCTTTATTGTGTGAGAGAAATTCTGCCTTGACCACCACTCAGATCCACACTTACCAGATGTGTTAGGAGAAGTAGGATGCATGTGGGAGGGCCACGAATGAATTCCATTCAGCTTTGCTGACATGAGAGGAAACTCAAAGAAGAAATAGACTATGAGTAGGAAGATCAAATTATGTTTCTCTAAGACAGGCTTCCTGGACAAATAGCTCAGGGACTCTTTGGCCATGCAAGTCCCCCACACTGCAAGACTGCAAGCTAAATACTGAAGTGCATATGACATGCACTTGACCTGGGATGTGACACAGGAAGGCTGGTTCACTTCTGACAGCTGAGGCCAAAAATGTAACCTGCAGGGACTTCCAGCCCTCCTTCCTGTTTGAGGGGGAAGATGCTTGGCCAGAAGTCCTTGATCTAGGATCAGCCAGACTTAGAAAAATGTGAGGGGTCTCTAATCCACAAGGGGGGGGGGTGTCAAAAATCACCATAACAGCCAAGAGTATCACTGGTATGTCGAACAACTAATAAAGATTTTTTAACTCTTAAAAATAATGATTTAGGCTCTCTAAGGCAATGGATAATGGAGGTTTTTATCCCTTTGCCTTAATAATGAAAAAAAGGCTGGAACTGACCACAACCAAAACCAAGGCATGAAGCCTTGGGGTAAAGACCAGGAAGTGGGAAGGGGACCTAAGGTTTACTGAGTCTCCTGAATATCAGCTCAGTGCTCCTGGACACGGAGTCCTCAGCCCACATCCTCTGCAGAGAAAGTATTGGCCATGGTGAACAGGGGCAAACCAAGACCTGCAGAGGAAGTGGCAGGCATGGGGTTGCAGGCTGTTGGAACACAGATGCTCTGTGCCCGTGGCCAAGCAGCCATCAAGAAACTTACCCATGTCCCAACACCGGCTGTGTGCAGGACACTGGAGCCTACTTCCTGGAGAAGGTCACAGTCCAGGGAGAACACCTTGACCCAGGGCTGTGGGGAAAATGTGCAGAGCCCTGAAGGCGGGAAAGGCTTCCAAGAGGAGAGCATCTGGCCAGACTACCATGCACAGGAGTTTTTGGGGCAAAGTGTGGGGAATTGCTCCAGGCAACAGGATTTGTGTACAAAAGCCTGGGTTTATGAAGAGGTGGATGCCTAGGGAAATAAGGAGAGATTCTGTAAGGCCAGGGCTTGGGGCATATGTCATGGAGACAGGGGCAACCCAGGAACACACCATGAGAGGTTTATGTCAGGTCAGAGCACTTCAAATTTAATTACCAGATGAACCTCTCTGTAGGGAGCTCAGAAAAGAGATCTCCTCCTGGGAGAATTCAGGATCAAAGGGTGGAAACATGTTAACAAAGATCATCAACTCAGCAGTACATTAGATCCCAAGTTTTAAAGTTCAGGGCAAGGAACAAAACATGCACTGTCACAGAGCTTTTGCAGGAGATGCTGTAGGGGTAGGGACTGCTGCCAGAGTGCAGATGGGGGAAATGTTTCATCTATAGAGAGCTGATGTTACATTTTATTACCCCAAGTAATCCTACAACAACTAGCTACAGCAGGATGTATAGGCAGGGATTTTTATCATCCCCATTTTATAGATGATAAGGCTGGGGCATGGAGAGGTCGAGTAACTAGTCAAAGGCCACACGCTAGTAGAGCTGAGATTTCCCAACTGCTATGTCAAAATCGCCCAACTAGTAAGCTGTGAAGCACAGGCTCAAGCTCCAGTTTGTTTCCAATGCTCATGCTTTACTAACAGTTTGTGGAAAGGCCCAGTCTGAGGCTAGCTGCTAAGATAGAAACTAAACTAAACGGTAGGGAGAAAGATATCAGAGCAGAGGGAATCACCTGTGCACATGGCAGGGATTGTTTCATGCTAGAGGCTCCTGGACATGGAGCAGAAAGAATGGGGGCCCTTGGGGACTGAATTCTCCACCCTGAATAGACAGTAATTGCAGGAGTTTTGCTGCCTGAACTCCAGTCTGAGAGCCTCTGGCTGCTGTGCCCAGGGCTGGCCCAGGGGCACCTGTCCAGGACCAGTACCCAAGAGGGAAATAACAGGGCTCAGACTCTGTGGCAATAGTCACAGTTTCCTGCCTGTTCAGGCCTCTCAGGAAACTCTGCAGCTTATTTCGGGAAAGAGAAGTTTAATTCCCTTTAGCTTAGAACTACATGTTGGAGAAATGCTTTCTGGGCTCATCAGAGGGCTGATCCTGCTGTCCAAGTGTCCAGGTCTCCAGGTCACACAGGGTGTGAAGGGGCCTAGAGTGAAGCCCTTCGTCCCGTGTTCCTAGCATCAATATTGCAAAGTTGGTCAGGGAAACAGAAAGGGAAAGGCAGGTGGGGTCCTCTCCGTTTCCTGGATTTTGTGGGCAAGAGAGAGATGTAAAGAGATAAGGGACAGTGCTTCTCTCCAGAGATCTTAGAGACCCCTAGAGAAATCAGTCTCTTGTCTACTGCAGGCAGAAGGCTGGCAGGACCCAAACCTCGGGAAGGGGCAGAGACTTGAGCTAAGGATAGTGCTGGAGCAGACCTTCAGGCCGGAACTAGCAGATAGGAGCAGGGGAAGGAAAGAGTAGGGAGAGAGGGCCATGGAAGGCCTCAAATTGGAGGGACAGATAGGGATAGAGGCTGTCTGCCAGGGCCAGAACTCTGTAGCATTGGGGCTTCATCCAAAAGGAAAGAGGAGACCCTCAGGCTAGCTGTCACTCTGCCTCACAGTCACATTCATCAGGCCTGCCAGCTCCTCATCAGCTCACCTACTGGGATGGGTCATCTTGTTCAGCTACTGTGAAGTCACACGACAGCCCTGCTCTCCAGTTTGCATCCTTGAGAGATCCATGTTTGTGGGTAAGATGGAGCCTGCCAGCAGTTTGCCAGCAATGGGCTGTTCCTGGAGGTATAGGGAGAAAAGCCCCTTGTGCCTATTTGCTGTCCGCATCTTGGGAGGTTTTGACCACAGGGGGCAGTGTGGCTCCATGGGACACTAATCAGTGTTCCTGTTTCCCTTGAGGAAAAAAGGAAAAGCCTCATGAACAGATTTAAGAAAGTATAGGTTAATAACCAGAAGTCTAAGAGTCTTGGGGCCTTAAGGATACTTATATGCACTTGATATCTCCAAAAGCATAAAATAGATTATTTATTTGTTTGTTTGTTTATTATTTATTTATTTATTTGCCTTAGAGAACTTTTTAATTTCTTCCAGGAAATTCTGAGGGTCAGTGTTCAAGGGATGACACCTTGAACACCTTGGTGTCCTACTCTAAAATCTTACTGGAATTATCATCTGTCACCCCTTCCTCTTTAGCACACACAGCAATAACCTATCTACCATCTAGATAGCATTCTATCTGTTCAGCGAACTCATTTAGGTCCCAGGCAGGCAGGGGTCATATCTGGTCACCTGTAGCTTCCCCAGCATCCAAGACAGAGCTGGGAAACATGAGATTGCTAAACCAGGTGATAAGCTTTAGTTTGTAACTAGTGTTTATAATCTATTTGAAGCTTTTTTAGACTCAAACTCAGCTGTTTTAGACTCAAACCGATCTCAACTTGAATAGGCAACAAAAAGTTTGCTACTAAACAGCTACCACCCACCACAGCTGATCTCCTTCCTAAAATAGTTTAAAGATTGCTTTTGTAGGGTCCCCTTCTTAACATAGCTGCAAGGAAACACAACTTGATCCTACATATCCTGAAACCTCCTGTAACTCTCACCATCATCCAGCAAAATCCTGAAGATGAGTTGCTGTCCAAAGGTATTGTTATGGAAATATTGAAAGGACCTCCAATGATCTGAGCCAATCTTTACAAAATGGATCCCGAGGCACAAGAAGGCCACCTGGAAGAGAAGGGAAAGGCAGAGGGGCAAAGTTTTGAAGTTTTTCAAAAATTTGTGATTTCTTCTGTAGCCCCATTGCCTCCAAAAGGCACATTCAGTGCAACTTCCCAGTCTTTCTTCAGAGAATCTTGGCTTTGAGCAAGTCATTGAGCTTTCAAGTCCATTGGGGATAGATACTGTACCTGATTCCCGGTTCTACTCCCCACTCCCTATGGAACTCAGCAATCTTTGCAGGGATGAGAACCTTAAGCCAACAGTGGTCTAGTTGAGTCAAAGATAACCCCATTCCCCTGCTGGTGGTTAGTTCTAGAATGGCCATACTCCCTGGTTCTGGCTAAGGAGAGAGAGGAAACATCTGCTGGAGATGTTGGCCTCTCTGTCCCACAGCAGGGATGTATGAAGAAGCCACCTTTGGGCCACAAGCAGAAACAGCCTCAGGATGGAGCCCACCCCAAAGATGGCAGAGTGCAGACAATCAAAGACTCTGTGTCTTTAGTGGTCGTCTTGATCAGCTTGTCCAACTCTTAGTTCTTCCAGGCTTCCCTGCCCAAATACATTTCTGCCATGTTTAAGCCAGCCCAAGTAGGGCCTGCTGCAAAAGCACCCTACCTGACTCCGGATAGCAGTCCCAGGGGGCTTGGAAGAAGCCAACAAGCATTTGACCACACACTAGGTAGGTACTCTGCAAAATGCTGTTTCCCTTTCCTTCCCACCCATCTAAAGGCAATCTTGAAAATGTGACCAAATAAAACCCCTTTTATTCCCCCTTTCAAGGGTTTACTCAAGTGCTCAAAAGAGTCTCTGTGCTCCTAACATGATGCCAGACTCTACACAGTAGGTCTTCAATATTTAAATGACTCATAACCTGCCAGGCACCGCTAGAGCAGATGTTGACAACACCTGGATTCCAGTATAGGGCTTACTTGGTGGATGTGAAAAATAATAATCCACTAACCCAGACTAACCGCAGTCAGCAGAGATCCCGGGCCTTTTCTAGACTCTGGGATGAGCAGGAGGACAGGTCTTCCCCTCCCCCTCTCTAAACTGTCTGCCACTAAGAAGCTAGAGATGTCTGTGGCCAATCACCTACAAAGCAAAGCATCCGAGGAA